TGTTTTTAATTTTCTGTCTTCTTTAATTAAGTGGAAACATTTGCACATAACAAGCCATTAAAAATGTTACCCTGCGGTTCTGGGAAAATGTCATGGGCATTTTGCATTATTTTCTAACACTGTATTGACCAAGCAACCCAAAAAAAGAAGACTGACTGATCAAAGAGAGACTCTGACAATAAACAAAATAAAACGTGTCAGTATCTGTGAAGCATTTCAAATATGTACAGAAAATGTCGCTTATAATTTAGCCATCTGCTACCTAGAGCCGAAAGCTTATGGCTGCAGCTTCAAGTTCACGTTTAAATAGCTAACATTATCTAGTGTGTCCTCCACCTCACTCCCCGATGCAACACATCACCTCCCCAGGAGTAGAGCTGGCAGCTGCAGCAACCCAAATCCACTCCAGCCACAGCAAAATGGACTGCCCAGACTCTCTTCTGAATCAGAAAACTTTCTGTTGCTGCCTTTACACAGATTAGACCCAGTGCTGCTACTGGCCACCAGCCAGGGGCACTGAAGGGTTTCTGTTGATGGGATTCAAGCCGCCACAGTCACCTACCGAAGGTCCATCTCCCGAGGATAAACAATAAACAATAAAGCTGCATTAAAGCCCCTGAAAACTTGGTTTCCAATGTCAAGTATTTCTCTTTGACACTTGATATTCATATAAAACATTGTGCTCATGTATGTTTTCAGAGCCTTTAATACAGCATAAATCCTGACAGCATGATATCTAACAAAACAGGCCCAAGGGACAGTCCAACTAATAGTGCCTGTTGTCACAATCAGAACTGACATCTATAATCAAGTCCAAAACCAAATCCATCTCAGTACAGTGCTCAAAGGCAATGTGATGACATCAGAAATCCCCCCTGCCTTCCACACAATCAGACCTGCCCTGCAGAAACGAGCTCCAAACAGCCCTGGGCTATTTTAGATCTAGGACAGCACTATACACTTTGGGACAGCATCTCCCCTTTTCTCTGTGCCGGCTTCCTCCTCCTCTATTCTCCTTTCCAAAATCATGTCATCAGTAACACACCTCATGGGTCTGCATCCCTGGATTATGTGACAATATTGAGCCAGCCCACTGAAAACTGATACGTTACCATGGAATAAATACCCTTTAACCTTATCCATTTATGAAGATTTCTACCTCTGCTGTGGTCCTTGGGAGCTAAGCCACATTTAGGGAGAGCAAAATGGCAGTAATCTTTTGCTATGATGAGGCTGTATGAAAACATATGATTTCATAACACAGAAAGAAATCTAAATTCACAGTTAGTGGTGGAAAAAGCTAAAAGTGTTACCTTCACTGAGGTTAAAACAAAAGAGAGGGTGGTGACAAAGTTGTCTCCAACAAAGAGTCCTTAATTAGGGTATTAATTAGAGGCTTCTGTATAGCTTTCTTAAAAAAGGAGCATCAAGTAATTTGACTTTTAATGGGTTCCCACAGCAACTGGGAAATAATAACATCGATAGCAGGCCTGAGCGATCCTGGAAACAAGCCTGGAAGTCTATGGCCATGCTAGTTGCCTAGTGAGGCTCTAACACTAATTTACATACCAGACAAAATTGTCAGACGGAAAAAAGTTTTCAGAGAGCGATCTATAGATATCATGTTACCATGAGCCAAAGTGAAATTCATCACTTCACAAGAGCCAGAAAATCATGCAAAAACTCGGGTGGATGATTGGTTAAAAGTTCATCACTGTAAAACAAGTGAACTTCAGAGGGCACTTGAAGACATGGTGTTTAGATTTCCAAAGCTGCGTGCTGGTGGTATAAATCTCACTTTTTGCCCCTTAAAATTCTAAACTTGTGTGAAATAATTGCAAACAGAGTTACAGACTAATATATTGCATATATGGTTGTAGAAAATGTCCAACAAGACTGGTTCTTTCCCATAATTTAGCAGTGATTTAACCCATGCTGATCACCACCGTGATGGGCAAGCTATTAAAAGCTATAGGCCTATAATTACCAAAAAAAAGGTGTCATGTCTGTACGTGATATAAGTGCATCCTCAACACCAAGTAATCACTTGCACAATAACAATATAAAAAGGCACTGGTGCATGTGTGGCCTGCTGCAGTATCTATCAATATGTTTCAAGGCACTCTTAATGAATGCACAAAGCTCAAAGGTGCTCCAAATTAATTAACGAACCAGGTACATCAAATTTTATTGACTGATTTTTTACAAATGCCACATCAATCCAAGCTGGGAGATCAAATAATGAGCTTCTGCGCAAGGTCAACGTTCTCATTTGGCCATGGGTTTGATTTTGAATTTTATTAACCTTTTAGACATTTTACCACCGCTGTGGAAAAAGAACTAACAAATCAGACAAAGTGGATTGATTTTTACAATTAAGGCCATCAATTTGCAGAAAACTTGGGTTAAAAATTTATATTTAATTAAGCTTCTAGTTTAAGAAAAAAACTACTTAAAATTAGCTACTACATTACCGGGCTGTAATAGCCAGTGATTAAAAAGGCAAAACTCAATTCCTGAATTCAGCATCACTGGATTTGTGTTTTGAGTAATCTGACCCTTTGAGTTACAGGAAAAAACACACACATGCACACCGCACCAAGTCACAAGCATGCACAAACAGAAAAGAGAACCAACAGCTTTATGAGCTAGATCTTGGAAGTTAAACCCATGATAAACAATCAATACCTCCAGGCAATATTAACTGCAGACAGGCATTATTGCCTGCAGCGGAGGTGAGACTTGACAAACACAGGAGGGAAAAAAAAGGCCATAATGGTGTAGTTAACATAGCAACCAGTGATATTTTACTGTCTCTTTGCACAAATTCACCATTATTATTTAGGAAGGGCTTTGATGAGATGCTGATCAATGCCAGCTACTCAGATATTTCAAGCATACTAAATATACAGAGCCGACCAGGTCTTCTGTGAAATACCTGTTCAAATAGTGTCCCAGCTGAAAGCTGGCTCTTGATAAGATGATTAAATACAACAGGGTGTAGAGTCAATATACAAACTGTCAAAATTTTATGCTAATATACAGGAAAGTAAAGTACAGTGACATTTTGCAGTAGCAGCATTTGATACAAGCCGTGCTGGCAAATAACAACATGTGACTTTAAAGGATACTTTGCTGATTTACAACCAGGTGTTTGTCACCGTGTTGTGGGTAGTGTGTGAAGATGAATGGTGTTTGGCCTTCCGCTGAGCAAACAGCACTGAGAAGTTGCCTGTGCCGTGAGCAAAAATCCGCCAAATGATGCAAAACACGTCATTTCATGTGTCATGCCACAGATTTTGGCTGGTGGATGGGCGGGGTGCTTTGGGAGCTGGCAGCACGAGGGGCACCTTAACGCTGTTCATTTGCACACACTCCCCACACTGCAGTGACACAGCACTCGTTGAAAATCTGCAAAGAATCCGGGTGTATAATGCTTTTGGTGATTTTCTCTCATTCATATACTGCTGATGGTATCTGATGTCCATTAAACATAGTCAAAGTCCAACTTAAGATGAACTAGGGGTGTAACTATACATCAGTCTGGATTGATTTATTGATTCAGTGATCAATAATCCAACATAAGTGACGCAAAATCAGTACATCAATACATATCATCTTTAAGATACGCCTTTACTTTGACATTCCCATGGCATATGTGTCTCCATTTCCATCCAAACACACAGCTTCCTAAAAATTTTAACAGTGCTAAAGGCCTGGTGTGAGGCAGATTATGGTAAGCAGCAAAGAAAAAGACAATGAGGACAATTACTGATATTGTCTTGTATTGATTGCGGGCACCTGAATTGAATCTGCATTCCTGACAATTACAGTAAGTGTTCACATTACATTCTGTGTTTAGGGAATGCTAACACGACTGCTAACACCATACATCAGTATCTCTTCTTTCTTCTTCCCTGGGCTCTGTGGGTCATCATTTAGCAATAACCAAATGTATTGTCAACAGATAAAAGCTGCAATAGCCAATCAATTAAAAATTAGCTGGCAACTGTTTTGATAATTAATCATTCAAGTCAATTTCACAAAAGGAGTGCCAAAAATGAATGCCGCCATTTTTCAAATGTGAGAATTTGCTGCCTTTCCCCATCTTAAAATCAACATCTTTGGGTTTTGGAATTTGGGAAACTGATATTTTATAGACTTAACTTAATCAATTAATTTTAAAAAAGATAATTAGATAGACTTATGATTGTCCATTACAGCTAAAGTTTTAGCAATTAAATAAAATGATAAATGACTTCCAAGATGAAATTTAGTGGTATTCAAATATGGCAATTTTGTTCAAATATCACTGACACTGACAACCTGTCTAATGATGCAAATGTTTACATCTGCTTGTCCCATAAAAAAAAAATAATTAATTAAAAAAAAAAGCCGGTCATTAAGTCGAGGCACTGTGGGCTGGACATGAGGAGGGCAAATCTGGAAGCTGCCGTCTGTAAGCATCTCA